TTTCCTTTTTTTTTTTTTCACTATTCCTATGAATGCTCAAGTTTATATATATCTCTTAAGAAATAATCACCCTAAATTACAAATATGGTTTTGAAAGATAGCAGCACACTTTATAGAAATTTAAACATGACCAAAGTACACTTAGCATAACGTCTCATTTCAACCCCAAGGGCTCTTCGTCAAGGAGCGGACAACATTATTGAAACCTTCAATTAATAAAACCACTAATCAAGGCAGAGAAGTTGTGTACTTTGTCAGTTTGAAATAAAACATTTGAATCAATTCAGAGACGCAACATAAAATCTACAACATACATTTTTGTCTTTGATAAATTGAAAGCATCCTTTATGATCTTTGAGTAATTCGGGTTTAGCCTTAAGCACATCTACAGCTTCAAATTTGTCAAAACTATTATTGATGAAACCTTTAACTGCAGATTATTTTAATTGTACTTTCCAGGTGTTCTATAACAAGTCCTCTGGTTAACTTGATGAAAGAGTGTTTGGGCTTATTATAAATATTATAAATACAACGCTAAAACAATATAATTTGTTAATACTTTTTAATGAACAAGAAATTGGTGCACTAATTTTATAAGAGACATAAAGAAGTCTTTGGATTTCAAGAGGATGATTCCTCCATTCAACAATAACAAAAAATCATTTCCTGTTCAATGATAACAAAGCAGATTATTTTCCATTCAATATTAACAAAGATGATTATTCTATTCAACATTAACAAAGATGAATATTCCATTCAACAATAACAAAGATGATTATTCCATTTAATATGAAGATTATTATTTTCCATTCAACAGTAACAAAGATGATTTTTTCCATTCAGCAATAACATTAAGGATGGGTCTTACATTGTTAAGGTTGGGGTCTTTGTTAAGTATTCATTATAATATGAGGACAGTGTTGAGATTTTTTAAAATATTTTTTACTTGTTTTCTTGAAGTTGATGTTCAGTCAAAACATGGCAAATATATCCCTAGTTATTGAAAATATATCTAGTCATTGAAAATAAATCTAGTTATTGAAAATTTATCCCCAGTTATTGGAAAATCAATCACCACTATATTTTAAATATAAGCTAAGATTATCTATTTAATGTTAATTATCTGCATTTGAAAATTTTGTGAATTTCTTATGTAAAAAGATGGAACATTTGAAATGGAGATTAGTGGACAGTAAAGCTGTACAATGGTTGTCTCATCTTTAAAAGAAACATGCAGTTATGCATCTAAATTGAGATACTTTTATTTATAACTTATCCATTGGATCCAAACAATGCTACTCAAAAAAATCAAAGGTTTTCAATGAGAAACAGCACAGCTTTCATTTACAGTAAAAATGGCTGTTGTGCTGCTCTTTATTTAGATGGATTGGATGGCACTGAAATTTATTCAGATGCCTGAAGTGAGGACCAGCCAAACCTATTTGATAATCGCACAAACAACCATAAAAAAAAAATCGTATGAAATGCAACAAAATAATATAAACTAAGCAATGTAATAAGTTGCAATATAATTATTACAAGATAATAAATCTATCAACCATCAAATATTTTAGGGTTGTAAAAAAAGTTGAAGTTAAACTTTAACTTCAGCTTTTTTGTAGTGCAAACCTGTTATTAAGTTATAACCTAATATTTCAAAGCCCATATTACAAATTGATTCTAAAATGTACATATTTTACAATTCTAATATCCTCGTTGAAAAACGACAAGCTCAGCTTGATCAGTCTTTGAGTATTGAGTTGAAAAGTAGCACATATTTGGTCAGTGTTCAACAGTTCAAAATGAAATACCTCATCACAGTGTATAACTTACTTATATAAATGTCAGTTTGCACAATATTTACATATAGACCCATTAACTATAAAAATGTAATCTCAGGGTTAAACTAAATTACCCAGATGCACAATTGGTAAACTTTTAATTAAATTTCTTTTTTTTAATTTATTGTATGTAGATTAGGCTAACGCTTTGTTAATTTCTAAATCTTTATCTTTCTATTAGTCAATTTTTTAGATTCAGATTTAAGTTTCCCCAGGAAACAATTTTTTTTTTATGTCACATAAATTGATTTGAATCATTAAGAGTATAAGAAATGCTATTTACACACATACTTAAATCTAATTACATGTCTTCATAAGGAATGCAGTTTTTATCTTTGGCAAAGATTTCAAAAATGAACAATGAAAAAATTTGATTTCAAATATAATGCATAAATTGAATGCATAAGAACATAATTAATTTAATATATAAATACATAATTTGATAAATGCATGAAAAGGGACATAAATAGTCTTATAAAGTACATTGTAACATGAATTGACAAATTTTACTATGATATAAGTTCATTGTGACAGAATAATGCTGTGAATAATTGCACTTGTGATTTTTTTTCTTGCAACATGTCATTAAAACATATTCCATAGTTAAAGCTTGCTGTTAGAGTCAGTTAGGTACAAACTATTTCTTAGGGGTGTTCTAGTCATTGAAGGGGAGTCTCCTCCTCTTTGGGGGATGCTGTTGTGGTCATTTGAGACTTTTGCCCCAGAAGTCTCTCATTCCAGTCCGGCCAGAATGCAGCTTTCATACTCTCACAGTAATTCACAAGATTTGGAAACTTTTCTGTGGATTCAAATGGTCAATGTTAATTATTGTTGCAGGACTTTCATAGAATAGTTTGAATATTTGGGTTTTATTCAAACATCCAAGCATGACAATTTTTATAAAAGGATAATAGTCTTAACTGTCTTATATAATGATCAGGAGGAGCTATCAACAAAATATTGCAGATTTCAAAGGACCTATCATTCCATTGGCTGATTAAATGAATATAATCAATCAGTTGCTCTATCACTCCAATTTATTGATTTAATCAATTCAGCCAATTAAAAATGAGGATGCAGTGTATTCCAGTATATTTCAAACACTGTAAACATTTTCCGTCAACTCACCTGCAATACGCTCTTCAGTGTGACATCCTGGCATCTGCCACACCATCTGACACAGTTGACCAAACACGGCACAGTCAAACTCGGTCACATCCTCAACATCATTGCCAAAGAGAAACTTTTTATTCCCTGTAACACAAAGATGAATGGAGAAAACATGTAAACAGAACAATGATGATGATAGAGGATACTTGTTTAGGTGCAGTTGCACAACAATGAATAATTAAGTACAATCTTATGTTTTTATACATGATAGAATTTATAATGAAATGTTTATGATAAAATGTTTTTTTTGTTGTTTTTTTTAATTGTTGGGAGAAGGAGTGTGTGGCTTTATATTTCTAGAACAGTTAGATTAAAAACATACCTAAAATTGTTGACACTGCCATCAAATCATCATCCATTAATTTAGTGACCTCTTGTTCTGAATGCCGACCAATGCCCTGAGACACCAGCCTGCCTTTGGAGGCACTTTTCATGACCCATATAGTAGCAGAGTTGAGACCAAGCCTGCGATAAATTGTGCCAGACTTCTCAAAAACCAGTCTGAACTGAAGCATTATCCTGAAGAAATAAATTGGACAAATCATAACATATTTTAAACATATTAACAATTTGAAATTGCCTTAATTTACAGACGCATTGAAATAATAATCTCATGTATTGGTCTACTCAAATAAGTGAGTAGTTAAATCGTTTTGAAAATGTACCATAATTACTATTTGTAATAAGACCAAAGGGCAAGTATCTACAGCCAATGAATATTTTTTTACTATTTCTAGTGGTCAATTTCGGAAACACAAACTCACCAGTACAAAGATTCCTCTACGGTCCTCCTCAGCATGTGACCAATGGCCATGTCTTGGGGTGTCAATTTATTATTTAGGTTAACTTTCTTCTCCACGTTGAGAAACTCTATACAAAACTGGGAGTCGCACACAACTGTCTGATTATACTGTATCCATGGCAACTTGCCTTTAGGGCCTGGTGTTCTGCTGAACTTGTTCTATCAATTAGAAATAATGATACATTTAAGAAAAATGTAACTCATGAAAGAAATATTTCAGTAGAGTAATTGTAAATTTAACTCCATGAAATCCACAAAACTACGAATGAAAACTTATTTTTACTACCCTTTCCAACCAAGATGCAGCTCAGAAAAACTAACTTTTCCTAACATTTCAATTCAAGTGCCACCGCACCAAAACTAACTTTTCCTAACAATTAAAATCAAGATCCAATGCACTAAAACTAACTTTTCCTAATATTTCAAGATCCACCGATGAAAAACTAACTTTTCCAAACATTTCAATGTAAGGGCCACCACTCCTAAAAATAACTTTACCTAACATTTCAAGATTCACCCACCAAAACTAGCTTTTACTAAAATTTCAATTCAAGGACAACCGCACTAAAATTAACTTTTTCTAACATTTCAATTCAAGGACAACCGCACTAAAATTAACTTTTCCTAACATTTCAATTCAAATCCACTGCACCAAATCTAACTTTTCCCAAACATTTCAATTCAAGGGCCACCGTACCAAAACTAACTATTCCCAACACTTCAATTCAAGGGCCACCACCATCAAATGTAACGTCCACTTTAAACTCTTAGGCAAACCACACCAAAAGTGAGTCCGAAAAAAACATCCCACCACCAAGGCGGACATCCAACCCTCCACTCAAATTCCACTCCATCCCACCACATCCACAATTGTCTTACCAC